CTTCCTCATAGTCGACACCCCAATCTCTCCTGGAACGCGCCCCGACCAGGATCTCAAGACGAATCGAGCTGTGGCGACGAAGGCCGAAGGCAGGTCCCAAGAGGCCAAGAGGCTCACAGGCGAAGGCATCGAAGCCATGCCTCATCAGCCAGAGGTCTGGGAAGGATCCCCAGTCGGCGGTCGATGCTCGATCCACATAGGTGTTGCTGCCCCTCACTCTGGGCGCCAGCGTCGGCGAGGGCGCGGACAAAGGACTTGGCCTCGCGAGGATTCCGCACCCTTGCAGAGCTCTGGCGTCGGCGACGGCACGGATGAAAGATGAAGGCCTCGAGAGACCAGATTCTTAGTATCCATAGTCCCACTCCGCCGCCTCCTTGCCAAGATCCAGCGTCAGCCTGCGTGTGGACAAGATTCCGGGGGTCCCAAGGCCGTGCGGTGACCTCGAAATCCCTCAACCCTTGACCGCACGGTCCGCCACCGCACGGAGTCCCCCCTGTCGCCCGAGGGGTCTTCGGAGAACGACCCAAGTCTCCTTCCAAACCTCAGGAGGGGACAAAAACACGCAGACACAATGAACCGTCGATTCCCCGGAAAATATGGGAAACAGGGGAAGTGGGGGGGAAGGCAAAAGCCCAGAACATACGGGACACTATGGGGAACCCTGGGACTTGTGTGTATTTGCTCGTGTGTCCCTGGGCCCCTTGAAAGCCGTGTCGTCACCCCGAATCCACACTGACTCACCACAGGGCCCCAGACCTGCAGTGCCCCGTTTTTTCTCTACGCCGACCTGCTCCTTGGGACTGGTCGGCCCTCCCGCGTAGAGTCTTGAGCGGCCGCGGGGCCCGGCGAGGGACCCCGAGGGCCCCCCGAGGGCCGCAGGCGGCCAACGGAGCTCGCCGCCGTGCTGCTTCCACGACGCGAGCACGTCTGGTCATCGTTTTCTTACCCAAGAGGCCCCAAATAGCGCTCCAGGGCCGGCGAAATGAGCGAAGCAATTAAATCATAACAATAATAACAATACAAATCCGCCGGCCCCTTTGTGGGGCCACCAGGCTGCGAGGCGCGGGTTCGCAGTTTCCAGTACCAGTTGTAGCTTGTAATTTCCAGTGTTACAGTTCTGCTTCTTGCTGGTTACTGTAACTAGTTGATTCCATGTTTTAAGTTGGGCCTGTCCCTCTACAGGGGGGATGTGCAAGAGTAGTCACAAAAATAGTCCGGGGACGATTTTCTGACCATTTTTGAGTATTTTAGGGCATTTTTGACCATTTCTTATTCTTCGTCCAAAATCTCCCTGTAGGGGGACACGCCCGACTTGATCCTTGTTTTGCCGGTCGGCGCGCCCCCCCCTCCCCCCCCCCCAACGGAGGAGCTCTTGGCTGCATTTGGGCACCCGTGTCGAGCAGCCGGGGCCTCCCCCCCTCGAGGACGCCCCGCTGCGAACGGCCGCCTTCGGCAGTCCGGGGCCCGACCCCCCCCCCTCCTCCCCGACCCCCCCTTTCCGCCCAGTGTCGAGGCGCCGAGATGAGGAAGCGCTCGCCTGGTCACCGCGCCGCTCGGGGGCCCCCGACGCGCGTCGACCTCCCACGCCGCCTCCTGCCACGACGCGCGGCGCCCGCCAGGTGGTGCCGCGCCAGCGGCGGGCCGCGACGCAGCAGCCGGCCAGCGCCCGCGAGGCGTGGCGCGGGGCCCGCGGCCGGACGAACCTGCCGACGGCCCACGTCGATCCCGTGGTGGTCTCTGCTGCTCGGCAGATGAGGCGCGAGGGCGGGAAGGGGCGGGATGGGGGGAGGGATGTGGGGGGTTTCTCCGAAGGGCTTCGGCGGCGATCCGTCCTCCTCCTCCTGCTCCTCCTCCTCCTCCTCCTGCTCCTCCTCCTCCTCCTCCTCCGCCTCGTCCTCCTCCTCCTCCTCCTCGTCCTCCTCCTCCTCGTTCTTCTTCCTCCTCCTCCTCCTCCTCCTCCTCCTCCTCCTCCTCCTCTTCCTCCGCCTCCTCCTCCTCCCTCCCAGCCCTCCCTCCCTCCCTCCCATCCCTCCCTCCCTCTCTCCCTCCCTCCTCCCTCCCTCCCTCCCCCTCCTCACTCCTCCTCCTCCTCCTCCTTCCTCCTCCTCCTCCTCCTCCTCCTCCTCCTCCTCGTCCTCCTCGTCCTCCTCCTGTGGCTCGAGAGGAAGGCACGGCACAGGACACCCCAGATAAGATGGTCAGAGTGGCCTGCGAGCTTGCCCAAGGACTTCGTCAACAGAGGCTCAAGATCTCGGACAAGACAGTCGTCATCGGCTCGAACAGAGACATGGTCAAGAGCGTGGCGAAGAGGTTGCAGCTGAACGGAACCCCCGCCAAGGCCAAAACATACACGAAGGACCTGGGCCTCGACGCAGCTGCTGGCCGCAAGCGAGTGAGACGGAATACACGAACGATTGGGAGAGACTTGCTATCTTGGGAGACGTGGTCAGTGACATGCGCAGTTTGTACTGGCAGCAGGCGTCGAAGCATGAGGATGGAGCTGATCTTCTCTCAGGTGCTGATGTATGGAGAATAAGGGCAGAGCAGCGCACGTTCCACAATGAAGGAGCTTCAGATTTGGCGGCACTCAACCTGATAGTCACCACAGGTGGGCAATGGACCCGAGTGAGGCGCGCCAGACAAGGATACCTGATTGATTCCAAGCTTTGTCCGCGCTGCCAGCTCAAAGAAGAGAGTTTGTATCACCGCATTTGGGAATGTGAGCAGAACAAAGGGCACGAGGATTTCGTGAAGTCGGATGTGCTCGTGGTGCAGGCGGCGGCGCAGCACGAGGCGCTGCCTGCCCTTTGGCTTCGGGGAGTACCTGCCGTCGGGCTCACCACTCCTGAGTTCGATGAAGCGCTCCTCGGCCAGCTGCAATTGGATTTTAAGTCACACGGCTTCGCCGAATGCACGGAGTCAGGCAGAGTTCACATTTTCGGAGACGGCTCGGGGGGCAAATATTCTGACGACCCCAGACGCAGGCGCTGCGGAGCAGCGATCGTGGGGCTCGTGATCGATTCGGGAGGCGGGTGGACCTTGGGGGAGGCTCTCGGGGTTCCTCTGGCTCGGAGAAAAGCAAACGGTCCCCCGAGCCGAAGTTTTAGCATTCTGCCTGGCGTTAGAGCAAGTAGATTCAGAGCTGGGTTTCACTTTTGTGACGGACCACAAGACGATCTCCAGGACCTGGAGGGCCCGCTTTCGTAGGCCCAACCCTATGGGTGCCAACGAAGACCTCTGGACCAGGGCTCGCAAAGCCTTCCAGGCCAGGAGGAATCTAGATGTGGAAGTTGTTTGGTTCCCCTCCCACCAAGAGGAGGCCCCAGAGAAGTTAGACACGTGCGAGAAACTCTTTTATGCCTCTGGCAACGCCTGTGCTGATTCGTGGGCGGGGGAGGCGGCGGAGTTGGCGTGGAGGGGCCTGGTGGGGCGGGAGCCGGAGACGGACAAAATTGATGCCACAGCTTCGTTGATTCGTCGAAGGGCCAGACGTGCCCTGGCGTGTGCAGCGGAGGCCGAGGAAAACACTCGGGCGGAGAGACCCCCTTTGAAGAAGGAGGCCAGACCGTCCAAGTTGGTGGCCGCGGCGCAGGCCTCGGACCACATCCTCGAGCCATGTGGTCGCAGCATGAAATACTGGTGGTGCACGGTCTGTGAGAGAGTTGTTCCCCGCTACCAAACGCGGGTCTTCGCGGCCACGACATGCTCAGGGCCTCCTGCCGAAGTCAGGAGAGGCTCCCAGGCCGCTGTTGGAGAGAGGTTCGCCCCCTCAGCCCGAGGGAGCGGCTTCCTGGAAAAGGTTCACCCCTCTCACAGGCTCCAGTCTGTGGAGAAATGGTTCCTTCACATTTGTTCGGAGTGCGGGTCCTATTGCACCGTGGACCCCAGGAATTTAGTTGGCAGATGCGACGGACGGACCAACAAGGGTTCGGAGAACCTAGCGAGGATAAGCAAAGGTTTGTTCCCGCGTCGTGAAGGCCCCCCGAGGGCAGTTTTAGAGGCCATCAGGGCTCGTGAAGAAGCCGCCTGCGCGGACGTGGCGGCCATGCTCAGGAGTCCGCAATCGGAAAACCCAGGATCCGACCTGGCTGGCCAGGCTGCTGGGCCTTCGGGGGCCCAGACGGGAGCGGGGTTGTTGGACCGCGCGGCTCCCTCCAGGCCTGGCCAGGCCCAGGGACCCCAGCCCGAGCGGGCTGGGGATGGAAGCGATTCCAGTGATTAGATCGCCCCCCAGGACAGCGTCCGCTATCAAAGAGTCAAAGAGTCCTCGTCCTCCTCCTCCTCGTTCTCCTCCTCCTCCTCCTCCTCGTCCTCCTCCTCCTCCTCCTCCTCCTCCTCCTCCTCCGCCTCCTCTCTTCCTCCTCCTCCTCCCTCCCTCCCTCCCTTCCCCTCCTCCCTCCCTCCCTCCCTCCCTCCCTCCCTCCCTCCCTCCCTCCCTCCCTCCCACCCTCCTCCTCCTCCTCCTCCTCCTCTCCTCTCCTCCTCCTCCTTCCTTCTTCTCCTCTCCTCCTGCCTCCTCCTCCCCCTCCTCTTCCTCCTCCCCCCTCCTCCTCCTTCGCTCCCCCTCCTCCTCCTCCTCCTCCTCCTCCTTCTCCCTCCTCCTCGTCCTCCCTCCTCCTCCTCCCCCTCCTCCTCGTCGTTGGCTCCCCTCGTTTTCGTCCTCCTCCTCCTCCTCCTCCTCCTCCTCCTCCTTACCCCTCCTCCCCCTTCCTCCTCCTCCTCCTCCTCCTCCTCCTCCTCCTCCTCCTCCTCCTCTCCGCCTCCTCCCTCCTCCTCCCTTCCTTTTTGCCCCCCCTCATCCTCCTCCTCCTCTCTCCCTCCTCCCTCCTCCCTCCCTCCCCCCAGGGTCCCTCCTCCCTCCCTCCCCCCTCCCTCCCCTCTCTCCTCCTCCTCCTCCTCCTCACTCCTCCTCCTCCTCCTCCTCCTCTCCTCCTCCTCCTCCTCCTTCCCCTCCTCCTCCTCCTCCTCCTCCTCCTCTCCTCCTCCTCCTTCTCCCCTGCCTCCTCCTCCTCCTCCTCTTCTCCTCCTCCTCTCCTCCTCCTCCTCCTTCTCTCCTCTCCTCCTCCTCCTCTCCTCCTCCTCCTCCTCCTTCTCCTCCTCCTCCCCCTTCCCCTCACCCCTCCCCCTCCCCCTCCCCCTCCCCTCCCCCTCCCCCCTCCCCTCCCTCCCTCCCCCGTCCCCCCCCCCCATCCCTATTCCTTTTCCTCATTATCCTCAATCCCTTCTCCTTACAAGTAACTCCCCCGTGTCGCACACCCAGACGTGTCGATAGGGCGGACTGGGAGTTGCGCCTGAGACTTCCTCACCGTGTTATGGCCTGAAGCTTAAACATTGCAACAGCTTCAAGGACGGAGGACGGTAAGTTTTGAACAGGTGGCTTTCGCCTGAGAGTCGCGCACATTCTTTTAAAAAACTGGCAACAGTTTCACGAATGAAGGCGGTAGTTTTCAACATGCGGATCTCGCCTTATCGCCGCGCACGCTCGCCTTTTCAAAGCTTGCAACAGTTTCACAGATGAAGGGCGACTGGCTTACAACATGCAAATATCGCCTTATCGCCGCGCGTATTTGTCTTAAACGTTCGCAGCATTTTCAAGGGTTCGTATGGTAGGAGTTCCGGGCGCGTTGTTCTAACAAGATTTGGGATTGTCAGGACGCAATAGTCAGGCTGGTTCGCGGTGGTGGAGTCTTAGAAATGGTCCTCTGGCACGATTTATGATGGTCAGGACGCCAGAACTCGCGTGGATTCACTGCGTTGAAGTCCCGTGAATGTTGCTTTGGCGCGATTGACGATTCTCAGACGGTTGTCTCCCAACGAGGCAATTTCCACAATGGAAATATTGTATTGTAGCGACCTTTGAAGAGGGAATTTGGAGGGATGGGTTCTTACAGCATCATTGATGCGTCTTGTCTTGGGTTTACACTGGTCCTCCTCCTCCTCCTCCTCCTCCTCCTCCTCCTCATGCTTGTCCCCCCCCCTCCCTCTCCAGAAACAAAACAAGCAACAGTTATCCTGGCGAAGGACCCAACCATAAGCAATTGTTCGTAACGCGTTGTGGGTGCCGCTTTCGGTGGGGCTCCCTATGGGGCCACGAAACGCTGCCTTGGGTGGGGGAACCGCATGCGAACCGCGCCACTGGGGCGGGCCTTCAGTGGAACTCCCTATGGGGCCACGAAACGCTGCCCTGGGCGGGGGAACCGCGTGCGAACTGCGCCACTGGGGCCTTCGGTGGAGCTCCCTATGGGGCCACGAAGCGCTGCCCTGGGTGGGGGGGCCGCATGCGAACTGCGCCACTGGGGCCTTCGGTGGAGCTCCCTATGGGGCGACGAAACGCTGCCCTGGGTGGGGGAACCGCATGCGAGAGCAGCTACTGGGGCCTTCGGTGGAGCTCCCTATGGGGCCACGAAGCGCTGCCCTGGGTGGGGGGACTGCATGCGAACTGCGCCACTGGGGCCTTCGGTGGAGCTCCCCATGGGGCCACGAAGCTGCCCTGGGTGGGGGAACCGCATGCGAACCCCCCACTGGGGCCTTCGGTGGAGCTCCCTATGGGGCTACGAAGCGCTGCCCTGGGTGGGGGAACCGCATGCGAACACCCCCACTGGGGCCTTCGGTGGAGCTCCCTATGGGGCCACGAAACGCTGCCCTGGGTGGGGGAACCGCATGCGAACACCCCCACTGGGGCCTTCGGTGGAGCTCCCTATGGGGCTACGAAACGCTGCCCTGGGTGTGGGAACCGCATGCGAACACCCCCACTGG